CTCAGTATAAACACTACCCTCAAAAGGGCAGAACACTGATTTTCAGCTTTTGCTAGAGAACGCATGAAGCGTACAGGTACGGAATGAACCCGCTCGCTTTCGGATAAATATCAATACATTAGTATAAAATATATGATGAGACAAATAATCTTATGGTATAGTGTGCTTACTTTCTGTGAAAGTGTTCTTTCACAGAAAGAAGCAGTGGAAAGGGGGAGCGAGAGGCCTCAGCCGACACTCCGGTTATCCGCCGCCGACACCCTGGGCGCAAGAGGACAGCTTATGGTCTCCAACTGTCCCTTCCTAACAGGCCTCGGTCGCTAGACATGGAGGTGTCTGGTGGCAGCTAAGGACGAATGCTACAGGCAACAGCCAATGGCGATGTCCCGCGTTCCCTCATATCACTCATATGGATGATGGCAGAAACAGTCAGGTTTTTAGTGGGTGTAGGGGCTACCCACCTTCTGGTAGGAAGAACCCCACATAACCCACTAGCTGCCCCCGCAGCAGGTGGGTATGAAATGTTATGCATTTTCCGGATTAAAAAAAATAGTAAACAGGAAAAGTTTGTTTTGAATAGAACCGATTTGAAAAAATCTCTCACCATTAAAATTCAATTTTTTTTCTGCTGAACATAGGCTGTATAAAATATTCTCAAAATAGTATTATTCCTTTGATAATTTACTATTTGATACAGAATTTAACTACGTATTTATTATTGATTAGGACTAATGTATACCATTATTTATAATTATGGAGTCGGTGTTGGAAGATTTGAAGATTTTATAGTTTCTTTGAGCTGTCACTTGACAGCCTGGCACACTTTTACGATGGTGGATCAAAGTATTTTGGTTTGACTATAGAGCGTGAGAACACGCATACAGTCATAATTATTTTAGTGTGAATAAAACTAGCATCGAAATTACCTAAACTTGACATGCCACGCTAGACGTAAACGCTCTTAACTATTGCACTGTTTTATTTCGTTCCTATTTGGCGCTGTCATGATTTGATACGAGTAGAAAGTGACAAAACAGTGCAATTAGTTAAAATATGTAGGTTTATTATGCTGTTTGATTTATAACGAATAAGGGTATTAAACTAATATAGCGACTATGTTATGATTAGATTTTACTTCAGTGAAAAAAAAACAGTCCTTAAAAGTGTGTCTATGGCTTTAATTTCCCAGTAACTCCTCCCTTTATTTTTCCTTCCTCCGACATACAGTCTACGAAGTCTTTACGGTCGACCACGAACAGTCCAGTATGGGTCGGGTCGGAGTACGTGAGGTCCAGATTCGGTCAAGAACTGGGGCGACAAAATCAGTAGCGGGTGAGTGCAAACCGGTAATTTTCAGTGCAAGGTCGAATGCGTTAGCTGGGACGTGCAGGCTGCAAGTTAGTTGGGCGACCCGGCTTCGTGTGGCTACGATGGATCTACCATACTTTATAGCTCACAAATGATAAGGCTGATTTTAATCGTAACTATAACGTTAACCGGTGTTTTTTGTATGCAGTTAGACAGATTTTTGACGTTTTTTTAAAGTTAAAGTAAGATGGTGCAACCCAGCCTAAGTTAACTCTACATGAATGAAGTAAAGTAAAAAAGTTGGGAGAAAATTGATTTTCCTTCGCGTGAAAATGACAGTCAGAGAGTAAAGAATTTTTTAAATATTATTTTTATTCAACTACGAGTTTTATTTTAGATGAATTCAAACCGTAAATTCACATTTAACACGCGATAAAACTAGAATAACTTGAATGCCTTAAACATGACATAAGTAGGCGAATAGCTTTACTTACATGCTAAACACGTGATTTCAAGTGCAACATGGAAAATGTAGATTGAGGTATCGTAACGTTTTCTTAGTTAGTTAGTTTAGATTGACTTCCAAATTACTAAGGCAAACAATATTGGCAAATGATAATAACCAATAAAGCAGAGCATAAAAGCAAAAGAAATAAATAAATAAATAAATAAAAGAACTAACGCCCGTATTTACAAACGACAGCGTTGATTGGAGCTCTGTGATTAAAATCCGTGTATCATCCTGTACGTCCACGCGCACTGTGAGACCTCATAGTAACGTTAGTGAATACGGGCGTAAATTAGCAATTAAGCCTACTGGACTCTCGTCGCAAATCTCTCGACAATACTAGTATTAGGACATACAACATAAGGTTGTAGAGAGAGCAATACGGTCGCGACCAGTACCATTTGGTCTAAAGGCTTCAGTCAACCTGATTGTCCCTCAAGAAAGATGATCCAAGGATTAGTAGGGCGCGTTAAGCCGGCATTTCGTACATGAGCGATGCGAGAGCTGCTTTAGTTTTGCTTTTTAGTTTATCAATTGTGACAAGAGATTATCACTACACTATAAGCTGGCGTAGGGGTTTCTTGTTACGTCGTTGAGACCTAGGTACCTTACGGTATTTTATTCGAAGCATTTTCATTTAAGAAAATCATTGGGGAAAAGCCTTTATCCAGCAGTGGCGGATTTTTCCCGAAAAACAAGCAAGTGTAGGATTCTTACTGCAAAGCAATTGCAAAGCAGCTTGTTTTTAAAAAAGAAAGAGCAAATGAAATTGAGTTCCATACATACTTCGAAGGACAGTCTATAGAAATCGATATGTTACGGTTAATGTGATAAATTGAAAATTATTAATAACTAGCTTTCCGCCCGCGGCTTCGCCCGCGTGGAATTTTGTCTGTCACAGAAAAACTTTATCGCGCGCGTCCCTGTTTCAAAAACCGGGATAAAAACTATCCTATGTTCTTTCCCGGGACTCAAACTATCTCTATGCCAAATTTCATCAAAATCGGTTGCGAGGTTTAAGCGGGAAAGCGTAACAGACAGACAGACAGACAGACAGACAGACAGACAGAGTTACTTTCGCATTTATAATATTAGTTGGGATAACCGGTTATTATGAATAATTCCCGACAGTCGCGGTGAAAGTGATAAATTAATCACATTTAACAGTGATTATTTAATAATTCAACCTTAGTACTAACAAATTTCATAAAAGAGAACAACATCTTGTGTACGTGCTCGTGTACAGCCAAACTTTTGAACGTTTTGATATCATATATTAATATAATTTGGCATAATGAGTTTGGAATGTTTTTTGCATAATATTACTTTTCCATGATGCCTATAACATAATGTTTTGATTTAAAGTGAAAAATAGGTTAAGGTGCGGCGGGGGGGGGCCCTGGGGCCCCCCCTAAGCCGCCTATTTAGTTTTATACACACATAAATGACCTCATATTAATCACATTTACCAAATCATGAGGTAATTATTCATAATAACCGGCGATTATTCATAATTTTCACATTTATCACTTTGACCGTAACAGATACACAGACAGGTAATATGGACATAGCCTTATAGCTATCGAAATTATCGCGCCAAATATGCCTGCATAGTTTTTTCTTCAGGTCAAAGCGGGCCACGAACAGCCAACTGATTATGCAACGCTATTGTGTAGGTAAGTAGATTTCATTATTAAAATTAACAATATACTTTTTGAAAATCCACGGTACCGAATAGAGCACATCGCGCTAAATACTGTAGCGTCATAAGTAGATGTATTAAGTGCGATTTTATAATAAAAATGTATAGTCCAATGTGCTCTTGGTCTTGAGTTCTTGACTGTACCTTTAAAGTTTTTGTGTGAACTCAAGCATGCTATTTTGTCACTTCATGACAATGATAAGATTTGAGTAATTAATAATAGGTGGGAACATCAGTTTGATGGCTTCAAAGTTAGCGTAATACGATATTAATGGCATTGTACAGAAGTACAGACTAATAGAATCGGCGTTAGTTTTAAAGGTTCTGTATACTATAGATAGTCATCGTCAAATACTTAGTTCGTCACTCCCAAAGTAGCCAAAAAGTTCGCAACACGTCTTTGTTATAATGTAACTAGCGGCCGCCCGCGACTTCGTACGCGTGGATCCTGTTTTACCCCCTTTTCCCGAATTTTCTTTGCTATAAACCTTACGGAGCCCGAGACCTTTCCAACGAATGCAAAACCGTGGAAATCGGTTCGTGCGTTCTGGAGTTATAGCGTCAGGGAGGAAAACCCGACTTATTTTTATATAGTACCTAGATTAGGTTGTGGTGTCAACTTTTTGACCACTTTGGGTGTCACGAACTATTTGACGCTGACTGTACAACTTTTATTGCGCGCGCGCGTGTTTTATAAAAAAAATGATAGGGCTTATGGCGATTGAGTTAAAAATAGTTTTGCTAACTTTTAACTAGTTAGTTTTTGGATGTATTCTAATTTGGCGCTACGACGCGATTAGTGAAGGGACTTAAAATTTAAATTAATTAATAATCATAACAAGTGTGATTGCGTAAATTATTTTCAGAACTTAAATAGTCGAGAACTTGTCAAAGATATTGTGTAATCCTTTATCTGGATTTAACAGTAAGATATTTGTTATTGTTTGGGTAATAATAACATAGTCTAATTTAAAATATATGGAGAAACTAGAATAAAATGAGAACTTGTTAGCCACAAGCCAGTGTAGGCCAAACCACAGACATTTGATATTATTACTTGCAAAAATGATCTAAACATAGAGTAGGTCAATGAACTTTACAGTGGGGTCAAATATTCTTATTGGAATGTAATAAAAAGACTTATTTATTTTATTATGAGCACCAGACAAATAAAAGATGTTCTGTTCATAACTTCAGACAAATAAAAAATATTTTTTGTAGAGGAGTCTGGGGAATTATGGTCATCTGAGTAGAGTTTCAGTTTCATCCTTAAAGTTATTATTATTAGTTCATAATAGTTTAATAAACATAAAAAATAGGCCTACAATTAAGATTTTTGCTTAGAAGAGATGCATCAATATATTTTTCACAAGGAAAAGTTGTGGTTTCAATTCCCTCCAGAGGAAAATGTAATTTTCCAATTAGATTAATATTGGAATAAATACAAAAGTTAATTAAACTATTAAATTAAATGAAACTCACCAATATTTCATGGTGCGTGTGATTGCCTCGGTGCACCCACTGGACGTTGGAGGCCGGCAGGACCTGCAGCCCGCCGCAGGGGATCGTCACGTTCGTGCCTTTGTCTGCCGCCACCTCCCTGATGTCCACCTCCTCGGCCAGGGTCCAGTGGAAAACTACACCACAACAACAACAAATTTATCTAGCTATACCTTGAATTTTTAATCATCAAAACAACTCGTAATTACCTTTGATTCCAAGGCAGAACACGGGCAGGATTATACGCTCGAGGAACATCCTACTTTTTCTACATTTAGACACTTGGCAAAAATATTTGAGCACTATCTAATGTAAAGTAAAAAAGATTTATTCCTATCTAATCGTTAACATCACACAAAATTAATTAAACGACGGAAGGCGAAAATATAGGAAATAAATCTCACAACAAACGTCCGCACTTCATTGATGAAAGTCATAGACTAAAAAAATAATGAATGAATGTCATTAAAAATGTTGCCATGAAAAAAGTAAAAATCGTACACAACGTAAAGCTAGCATACATGATAAGATATGAGCTCTTACAACGACGACCTTCAATGTAAATCAAGCTTTTGAGATTGAGATTTATAGTAAACGCAATGTGAATCCAATGTTTGATTTGTGAAATTATAGCCTGACCAGGAACATAAAAACCCTGGCATAGAGGCGCTTCAATTGCATTTGATAGTGCAACACTGGGTACAGTCGTACCTGTATTAAATTAATAGGCTAACTTTATGTATCAGGATTCAGGATTATAGGCTTATTTAATATTTTCATAAATTAACAAAAACGTATTATATTATAGGTAAACTGGTTTAAATAAATTAAATGAAACCATCAATCGAGCAAGTAGGATTTTATTATTATTCATCAATAATCAAATTCTGAACTTGAATATTCAACTACAATGTCTGCTCATGAACGCTTCAAGCTCGGTACTTCTTTCCCAATTCCATAAAATTCAATACTTACAAAGTGACAAAAAACTTTAAAATAGGT